TAATATTGTAATATATTAGCATATTATGCATATATAGGCATAGGTTAGGTTAGGTGTTTAGGTTCTGTTGGCGAGTATTTGTAGTACGTGGGTAAAGCATTTACAGCGTTGTGGTTCGAATAAAAGTCGTCAGTGAAGCACTTATTCCGGAAGTGTTCGGACGTCATCAGTTGTGAGTCGTGTGTAAACCGTTTTTCATTCATAAACAGCTGGTTTGGCGGGTGCATGGAATGGACTTTGCGTCTTTGTTTAGAGGACGAGCTGTTCGCTAACGACTTTTGTTCGAACCACAACGCTGTAAATGCTTCACCCACGTACTACAAATGCAAATAATTGCCAAAAGAACCTAAACACCTAACCTAACCTATGCCTATATATGCACAATATGCTAATATATAACAATATTAATTTACATTCGCGAAATTTTTTATTTTGAATGAAGATCATGTTAAAATTGATGAATGTGTCTTTGGGGTCGACCGCTGGATGGAATGAACCTAATCTGAGGACGGGTTGCAAATAAATACGGACGAATAGTATTGATGAAGTGTTCGTAAAGATGTCACACGAATCGAAGGTCCTCAGTCACCGTGCGTGTGTTAGGAGAGTGTCTGTTTGTTTTTGTATATAACAAAATACAGGTGTTTTTTGTGTTTATATATATATAATATTTTATATTTTATAAAAATATATATTTTTATATATATATTTTTGTGTTTTATATATATATATATATATATATATATATATATATATATATATATATATATATATATATAAGGCACAACTCTTCTAAACACGAGAGTGAAGTATACAACTTTAGAACACTTTCCCACCAGGAGACTCGAACCCTAGCCAGCACAGAAGCCTTCCAGCAACTGGCATAACAGGTACGCCTTAACCCACTCCACCACCCGCTCAGACTCTTAAAAGAGATGGTAATTTCGGAGTATTTAAATACACCAAAGATCATCACCTCCCAAGAGCACCAGAGCAAGTGAGGGTCATTTAGACGTTAATTTCATCAAGTCCCTGTTAATATGGGAAGACACAGTGTCTATGCTTAATAGACACTGTGGACAATAGGCTATGCTTAATATATATATATATATATATATATATATATATATATACATCTTTCTAAAATGATTTTTTTCCCCATATTAGTCTCAATTTCCTTCTTTTATTTATTTCTCGCATAATTCTGAGGCAAGTTAAAATTAGCTAAGGTTGATGTTAAAAACTAACATATAACTGTCAACACCTTAATAACATCACTGAATAAAAACATTAAATTGTATTCAATTGATCCTGAACATATTGACTAAAATAGATCAATATGCCGTCCAGAGCTACTCTCGTAAGACACACTTGGTTAGTACATTCACTGCTGGGTAAACTGTGACTTCTTAATTGGACTGAAACAGTCATCTAATGAGTATTGTGTTTACACATCTGATGAATGTTGTGTTTACATATCAGCATGTTGTCTTTTGCCACAAACTCTTATTTTTAAATGTTAATGCGGAGAAATTTGTTGATGTGTTCGTGTGCTGGTGTTGTGTTGGAGGAGCGTGTTTGTGTCGTAAAACGTTTGTGTAAAATATTGCGGGGTTCTAAACACAGGGAAGGTCTCGTGTTTGTCGTGCGTATTGACCATTAAGCGGCCAGATATTGACCTCTGTTAGGAGGTAGCCGGTGTGTGTGTGTGTGTGTGTGTGTGTGTGTGTGTGTGTGTGTGTGTGTGTGTGTGTGTGTGTGTGTGTGTGTGTGTGTGTGTGTGGGCCTGGGGAATAGGATAGGGACATTTGCTGTGGTGGCTGCGCATGCGTGGACCTATTCATAGCTGTCTTCTAACATAGCTTAGTACACCTTCCCTCCCCCTATCCTCCCCTACCCTGTGGCTGTTCCCTCTGCTATCCTCCCCTACCCTGTGGCTGTTCCCTCCCCCTATCCCTCCCTACCCTGTGGCTGTTCCCTCTGCTATCCTTCCCTACCCTGTGGCTGTTCCTTCCGCTATCCTCCCTACCCTGTGGCTGTTCCCTCCGCTGTTAGGGCTAGACATGTGTATCCTGACGTGTCAGGGATAGCGGGATTCGAGGCAGTGTGAGGATCAGCAGTAGTGGGGGTGAATCCTACGCCTCAGTGCCAGACGAAGAATATCTCACTGAGTGAACGCTGCATGTCTCAGACGCACATGAATCTCATCTGGTTTAAGGAACAATTAACTATAAATACCTAACCTGTACCCGGCTGGAGGATTGTGCACGCCATTGTACCCTCGCTAAGGTGTGGGGTAATTAACTTAACGTACAAATGTTAATTAGGGCACTAATAAAACTAATTAATTTGCTAAGAACATTGTAATTCTGTATAAGAATGAAGATTCATGAATGAATTATTCATGAATATACTTAATGATATGTAGAGTTGGGGAAAGTATGTATTCATCACATGTATAGAAGGCCTGGTCGAGGACCGGGCCGCGGGGACGCTAAACCCCGAAACCATCACAAGATAATCACCAAAGTATTATTACAAAGTCTAAGTCTTATTCCACTCCACCCAAGGCGCCACACTAGTTCCTTCAACCCCAATGACGTTTCAATAGTCTTGAATCTCTAAAGGTACTACGGGCTCACCATAGCCCGTGCTACTTTGAACTTTGTTCCAGGTAGCGAATCTTTAACAACAAGTCTTGAATGTTTTTCTAATGTTTAGTTGTTCGTTTTGTTCAAGATTTTGCTACCTGGAACAAAAAGTTCCAAGTAGCACGGGCTATGGTGAGCCCGTAGTGGAATGTTTAGTTAAATATCCCTTATTAACTAGCTCACAGGAGTCTAGTATTTGTTTCTAATTATAACGAATTGCATAATTTTCAAGCAATTACGCAGTAGTTAGTAGTACTTATAGTAACGATGAGGACCATAGTACATATACCGACTTACAACGCAATTAGAAAGTAGAAATCGGTACTATTGAGTTGGACAAACCGGAAAACCATTTTCTATATTGCGAAGACAAACTAACCTAACCTAACCTTCCTAGGCCTAATACATAATATCTGAGGCCTAATATAGTACATATATGTGCTATACTAGGCCTAGGAATATTGAAGTTTGTTAATATTAGTGGAATTTTTGTCTAGACTCTATGCCGTGAATAGTACAAATTTGTACTATCTAATTGCTGAGAACGTCAATCTTTGTACTATAGTGCACATAGTTACGAAAAAGTACTATCTAAACAGGAGGATGGATTGGATATTTACAGATATTTCCAAGACTTACTATCATCAAGGGTACGTTACGCATGCGCACAGGCGCCGCCCGCCATGTGGGGCCCCGGTTGGCGCCATTTTCAAATATGTCGTCTCGGACACTGTATACATACATGTGTTGTATGCTGTATAGGGTATGAATGTATACACTTGTAGTTACCCCCCTTTTTTTTACACCCCGTGACCCCCTCCCCTTGTGTATGTTCCCTCCACTATTGATGGTGTGATGTGCAAATCACTTTATGATTTGTTAATATGTTAATGATTATTCTTGAACTTTTGTAGTTGATGAGTTGGATTATTTTGAAGGCAGTTTGTTGTCTCTTATGTTTTATTTTGTGACATTTGTTGCTCTTTGACCCTCCAGACTCTTGATAGTGTTGCTCTTGATAGTTTCTCTTAAGAGTCTCTCTTAATAGTCTCTCTGGATAGTCAGTCTTTTTAGTCCTGTGCATTGCCTTTCTCTTGATCTTCTCTCTTGATAGTCTGTCTAGATTGTGTTCCTCTTTATTTTCACAGACTTTTTTTGTAAATTAATTTCAATTTTATTTATATAAATTTACTTTATTTTTATTTTATTTATTTATTTTAATCTTCCACAGCTCCTCCATTCACTATGTAAACCTCTATAGCCTTGTGTACACTCTCCACTCAAGGTTGTAAACCTCTATAGCCTTGTGTACACTCTCCACTCAAGGTTGTAAACCTCTATAGCCTTGTGTACACTCTCCACTCAAGGTTGTAAACCTCTATAGCCTTGTGTACACTCTCCACTCAAGGTTGTAAACCTCTATAGCCTTGTGTACACTCTCCACTCAAGGTTACATTGCTCTATTTTCCCCTCTATGTCTCATTTCCTCTATTTTACTCCTTCCTCTTTCCACCTCTTTCCATTCTTGAATTACTTTTGCTATTAATCTGCATTTTTTTTCCTCAACAGATTTCGTAATGGTTTCAAGAGAGTGTTCTCTTTATGCGTCCCTGGCTTAGAGTACGAGTGATCTTATCGCTTGGTTCTCTCCCTTCTGTATGTATCGTGTGTCCTTCTGTATGTATCATGTGTCCTTCACTTCTCTTGTATATACCTTCTTATTTATCACAGTTACTGCCTCTCCTCCTAGTAGTCTTATATATATATATATATATATATATATATATATATATATATATATATATATATATATATATATATATATATATGTATATATTTTCACGTGTATGTTACTTGAGGTGCTCTCAAGAGTGTATAGGGTGTATAGGTAATACAGTATGCTGTTGTGTATGATTAAAAACACCCCCCCCCCCCCCCCTCACTCCCTCTTTTAATGCTTGTATATTAATTGCTGTTATCACGCAAAAATACACAGCTCACTGTTTTGTTGTGTTTTTTGTTTCAGTTATCCCCTAAAGCCTCCCAATGTCGTGCTTTCTAAGCCATTTGATGTAATGATAATATTTACTGCACAGTTCCCGTTTTTTGTGGTCAATCTTGAGTCTTCACTCCCTCCCAAGATAGACTCCTTCCCATACCCTCACCCTCGTGATATTCGTATCTTACCACACCTTGTCTATTGGTCAGGGCGGCTGTATAGTCCTTTGGTTACATCCCTTAGCCCTTGGCCCAGCTCAAATAGCCCCCTTGACCAACCTACTTACCCCCCCCCACGTATGTACTCTGGCTGTCATGTCTACCTCCTTGTCTTCTCTTACGCCCCGTCAGGTTCCGCAACGGGTTTAAGAAGGTGTTCTCCGGGTGGTGTCCCTGCGTCCACTACGAGAGGGACCCGACAGAGGTGACCCGCGTCCACACTACCAGGTTCTCCTGCTCTGGGTCGCCTGAAACCCTCCACCGGATAGCCTGCGATGGTCAGAAACTTGTTGTTGTTGAAATTGAAATTGAAATAAGTTTATTGAGGTAAAATACACACAAAGGGATGAGGTAGCTCAAGCTATTCTCACCCCGTTCAGTACATCGTGTTAATACATACATAGACACACATCACAAACAATAAACATATTACCAAACATTCTGAGAGATAAACATATACATTTCCTTGTTGTTGTCGTATAACTTACTATATACTTCCCAGTTTTGTTGATTTGTAGTGATATTCCTTCAGGCATGTGACTGTGACAGGTCTATAGTGTCTGATCTTCCTTGACACTGTTCCCTTCCCTCTTAAGGTCTATATGACAGTCGTAAATTTTTAAAGCAATCTGTCACAACCTCTCAAGTTGCTGCATTGTGTTGTGGGGTGTTGCCACAACCCACAACGCCTGCACCACAACCCCTGCACCACAACACCTGCACCACAACCCCTGCACCACAACACCTGCACCACAACCCCTGCACCACAACACCTGCACCACAACCCCTGCACCACAACCCCTGCACCACAACACCTGCACCACAACCCCTGCACCACAACACCTGCACCACAACCCCTGCACCACAACACCTGCACCACAACCCCTGCACCACAACCCCTGCACCACAACACCTGCACCACAACCCCTGCACCACAACCCCTGCACCACAACCCCTGCACCACAACCCCTGCACCACAACACCTGCACCACAACCCCTGCACCACAACCCCTGCACCACAACCCCTGCACCACAACCCCTGCACCACAACACCTGCACCACAACCCCTGCACCACAACCCCTGCACCACAACCACCACCTCTGGCCCCCGGTGAGTTACCTGCTCTAATTCTGGACTATTATCTTAAGCAACACACGCGCCAGTTACGGCCCTGGTGAGCTGTGTTGACCCCCCCCATTCCCCCCTCGGGCCCTTAAGACTACGAACCCAGAGCGCTGTCCACTCAGCCGCGAGGTAGTTTTGTGCGTGCTTGCCTGCGCGCGCGTACATATACACCGACAAAAGATCATTACAATAGCACTATGTATGATAAAATATTGAGGCTGTGCAATGGGATCGAATACCTGTGTCTGGACTCCCCCAGACACACGCACTAAGGAACTGCACCACGATGGGCTGCACATCATGGTGCAGTCGGTATAGTGTAGGTGTGCCTGAGGAGGAGGGAGGGGGAGGGGAAGGAGGTGAGTCCCATTTATGTGAGATATATCTCATATCAATGCTTCAATATTTTCTCATGTGTACATCCTCTCTCTCTCTGTCTCTCAGGATACATGTATGTATAGCACGCATCCTGTCTGATGAAGGATACATAGAAGCACTCGGTTTAAAAGACTTGCGAATATCACAGTGGAAAGGTTAAATAAATATCTTTTCCAATTTCCTCTCTAAGTGGCCCCAATTTTTCTCCCTTCCTGCTGGAGGTGACAGGAAATTACTCTTTCATATCTAGGAGATACTTATTTATAAAGAAAACAAAAAACATTTATGTTGACCTTTAACTCTGTTTTCTCTATAGTATCAATTTTGTATTAACTCATAATAAGATACAAATGCTACTTAAATATATATGTATCTATAAGAGTCACATATAAAAGTCACTATTGTTTGTCTGTGTGTTCAGGGATGCTGGCCCAGATGCTTGTGGCTAGTTTCACACAACTTTTAAGGATGAGAAATTGGTGGTATGGGAGGGTCATAGGTTGGGTGGGGTCGGCCACATTGACCATTTTAAATTATATCATGACAGAGAGAGAGAGAGAGAGAGAGAGGGGCAAAGGGAGAAGAGTAGGACAGGAGAGGGGATGAAATGTGGAGAGAGGGAATTTGAAAGAGAGGGAGTAGGGTGTGAACACACACACACAAACACACACACACACACACACACACACACACACACACACACACACACACACACACACACACACACTACTAATACTACACATATCCTCCCGCCACACACAGGTTCATCACACATCTCCATGAAGACATACGTGACGGACACAGGTGGTGGAGGTGGTGGCAGCAACGGTGCCAGACAGCAGCAGCCGCCGGTCAGGGTGTCCAACGGTGCCAACGCCAGGAAGGCCACCAACGGTGCCAACGCCAGGAACTACGGTGGTACCTTCAACGCACCAAAGGTCTCCAAGTACGCCGCTGTCTCCTACCAGTACGTCTAAGGCCTCCAGCGGACCTCCTCAACTAGTCCTCAAGAAAATATTGACCGTGCTGAGACTTGGGTCAATACTTGATATATAAAATGTTATCAAAGAGACTGGATGATAATGGGAGATATTTTGTATATGTCGGGGCAAGAACGGAATGGGGCCGAGTTATAACTCTGGATGCCGGTTAAGTCAAAATTTTTATATCAATGGTTTCTAATTTTGTAAATTAACATTGTATTGGGTCCCTGTTTAGAGAGGACTTCGGGTATAAGAACCAACTGACCAACAGCTGGTTACTGTATTCATGTTCTGCAGTGTTCTATACATGTTCCACACCAGGGGGCAGGAGGGTACACTGATATGGTCCACACCAGGGGGTAGGATGGTACACTGATATGGTCCACACTAGGGGGTCAGGAGTACACTGATATGGTCCACACTAGGGGGTCAGGGGTACACTGATATGGTCCACACTAGGGGGTAGGATGGTACACTGATATGGTCCACACCAGGGGGCAGGAGGATACACTGATATGGTCCACACCAGGGGGGTAGGATGGTACACTGATATGGTCCACACTACGGGGTCAGGAGGATACACTGATATGGTCCACACCAGGGGGCAGGGGGGTACACTGATATGGTCCACACCAGGGGGGTAGGATGGTACACTAATATGGTCCACACTAGGGGGTCAGGAGGATACACTGATATGGTCCACACCAGGGGGCAGGGGGGTACACTGATATGGTCCACACTAGGGGGTCAGGGGTACACTGATATGGTCCACACTAGGGGGTCAGGGGTACACTGATATGGTCCACACCAGGGGACAGGGGGGTACACTGAAATGGTCCACACTAGGGGGTCAGGGGTACACTGATATGGTTCACACTAGGGGGGCAGGAGGATACACTGATATGGTCCACACCAGGGGGCAGGATGGTACACTGATATGGTCCACACTAGGGGGTCAGGGGTACACTGATATGGTCCACACTAGGGGGTCAGGGGTATACTGATATGGTCCACACCAGGGGACAGGGGGGTACACTGATATGGTCCACACCAGGGGGCAGGAGGGTACACTGATATGGTCCACACCACGGGGCAGGAGGATACACTGATATGGTCCACACCAGGGGGCAGGATGGTACACTGACATGGTCCACACCAGGGGGGTAGGATGGTACACTGTTATGGTCCACACCAGGGGGCAGGAGGGTACACTGATATGGTCCACACCAGGGGGCAGGGGGGTACACTGATATGGTCCACACCAGGGGGCAGGGGGGGTACACTGACATGGTCCACACCAGGGGGCAGGAGGGTACACTGACATGGTCCACACCAGGGGCAGGAGGGTACACTGACATGGTCCACACCAGGGGGCAGGAGGATACACTGACATGGTCCACACCAGGGGGCAGGAGGGTACACTGACATGGTCCACACCAGGGGGGCAGGAGGGTACACTGACATGGTCCACACTAGGAGGCAGGAGAGTACACTGACATGGTCCACACCAGGGGGCAGGATGGTACACTGACATGGTCCACACCAGGGGGCAGGGGGGTACACTGACATGGTCCACACTAGGGGGTCAGGGGTACATTGATATGGTCCACACTAGGGGGTCAGGGGTACACTGATATGGTCCACACCAGGGGACAGGGGGGTACACTGATATGGTCCACACCAGGGGGCAGGAGGGTACACTGATATGGTCCACACCAGGGGTCAGGAGGATACACTGATATGGTCCACACCAGGGGGCAGGATGGTACACTGACATGGTCCACACCAGGGGGGCAGGATGGTACACTGATATGGTCCACACCAGGGGGCAGGAGGGTACACTGACATGGTCCACACCAGGGGGCAGGAGGGTACACTGATATGGTCCACACCAGGGGGCAGGAGGGTACACTGATATGGTCCACACCAGGGGGCAGGAGGGTACACTGGCATGGTCCACACCAGGGGGCAGGGGGGTACACTGACGTACCCTTCAGATACGACCCACTAAACCCACATTATTACGAGGTTGAAAACCTGATGCCCCTGAGAGGTCTGAGGCCCCTGGCCAGCCTGAGTCAGGGGCCCTGACCAGCCTGAGTCAGGGCCCCTGGCCAGCCTGAGTCAGGGCCCCTGGCCAGCCTTAGTCAGGGCCCCTGGCCAGCCTTAGTCAGGGCCCCTGGCCAGCCTGAGTCAGGGCCCCCTGGCCAGCCTGAGTCAGGGACCCTGGCCAGCCTGAGTCAGGGCCCCTGGCCAGCCTGAGTCAGGGCCCCTGGCCAGCCTGAGTCAGGGCCCCTGGCCAGCCTGAGTCAGAGCCCCTGGCCAGCCTGAGTCAGGGCCCCTGGCCAGCCTGAGTCAGGGTCCCTGGCCAGCCTGGGGGGTCTAGATTTAGTAACTGTATTCTGTAAATATTGTTTTACAGAGTGATGGCCCTCTGATGGAGTCTGTAAATCACTGGGATAAGTGTAAATACCTTGTACATGTGATGTATACTATATACATAACTTGTAGATATGTGATTGAGTTAATGTATTGAACATAATTTGAATATAACGAAGCAACATGTATGGAGGTGAGGTGGCGGTGCCATTTTACACAAATACCTCGTCAGGCATCATGACACAGTGCCATACAGCTCTCGCCTGTTCACAGTGCCATACACTGTTCACATGTTCATTGTGGCCAATAGTTCTCACTTAGAGAACATGTTCAGAGTGTTATTCAGTTCTCACAAGAGGAGACAATAGACTTGAGTGGATAGAATAGACCAGGGGGAGGTCTGGCACTGCAGGGGGTGGTATGGCACTCCAGGGGGTGGTATGGCACTCCAGGGGGAGGTCTGGCACTCCAGGGGGAGATCTGGCACTCCAGGGGGAGATCTGGCACTCCAGGGGGAGGTCTGGCACTCCAGGGGGAGATCTGGCACTCCAGGGGGAGATCTGGCACTCCAGAGGGGAGGTTTGGCACTTCAGGGGGAGTTCTGGCACTCCAGGGGGAGGTCTGGCACTCCAGGGGGAGGTCTGGCACTCCAGGGGGAGGTCTGGCACTCCAGGGGGAGGTCTGGCACTCCAGGGGGAGGTCTGGCACTCCAGGGGGAGGTCTGGCACTCCAGGGGGAGGTCTGGCACTCCAGGGGGAGGTTTGGCACACCAGGGGAAGGTCTGGCACTCCAGGGGAAGGTCTGGCACTCCAGGGGGAGGTCTGGCACTCCAGAGGAACAAACGCCAATAGAGTATTTTTTATACATGTCGTATTTCATTGTGGTGCTGAATGTGCAGTCATCTGTGAGGGGTGGAGAGGTCCTCCACCTGAGTACCAGTCGTGTGAGTATCCCATGCCTGAGTACCAGATACCTGAGTACAAGTCGTGTGAGTACCAGATACCTGAGTACCAGACGCCTGTGTATAAATGTATTAGCAATGTACTCTTTTTTTTTTATTCTGAATTGACTCTTTTTCTACTTTTCACTCTCTCTATCTCAGTTGACATTAAGCTATCAGTGAACAATACCTCATCTTCAAGAAGCTTCACCAACTACCACAGAACAGCAGGCAAAGTTTAGTACTTTCTCAACGAGTGGATATATATATATATATATATATATATATATATATATATATATATATATATATATATATATCCTTCCTCACAATGCTCTTTTTAAATAACAACAAATTGCCTTTAGTTGTAATTATCCATTAATTTTGACCTGACACGGAAGTCTACTTAATACATTATAGCAGAGCTATATCTATTTTTCTATCTTGGGCAGTAGATAGGTACCAGGTAGATCATATCGTAAGGATAATATTATTTATACATGTTAACGAAAGTAGTTGACCGTAGATGGCTGTTGACGTAGAGTAAGTCTGAATGCTTCGTAAAGAAGCCTTCTTTATGTCTTAATTAGTGGTTGATCGGGTTATGTGTTTGTTTGGGTTGTTTTGGCTTAAAGAGAGATTTTTACTTGATTCATTTGTCCACTGGGCGCAACGTCAGAGTGACGTATAGTTTGACGTTGAATCAAGATTGATGACGTTGATTTGGCGTTAAATCGGTGTTGCTGTTGGACGTTGCCTCCACTGGGTGGTTGATGTTGTTATAGGCCAACAGGTCTCTCATGATTAATTGAAAGCTTGGTCCAGCGTTCAGGTATATTTGGTCCAGAGAACGGCTCGACCCGACCCTCTTCAGGATCTGGTCGAATGTAGCGAGACATTGGGCTGGTCGAGAGATTAAGGGTTAAGGGTGCAATTGAAAGCACTACGGGCTCACCATAGCCCGTGCTACTTGGAACTTTTTTCTTCCAGGTAGCGAATCTTTAACAACAGCAGGTTGCAATTGCACAAGTTTGGTTGATGATATGGTTAGGTTACACCTGCCTGGTCGAGGGTTGCAGGGCAGCTGACTAGACCAACCTGGTAGTTGGTCCAGTTTAGAAATATATGATTTAGAAATTTATCATTTAGAAATGTATGCTCTAAATTTCCTCTCTTTTTTTTTTTTTTGATTGGCTGTTATAATTTCCTCTCTTTTTTTTTGATTGGCTGTTATAATTTCCTCTCTTTTTTTTTGATTGGCTGTTATAATTTCCTCTCTTTTTTTTGATTGGCTGTTATAATTTCCTCTCTTTTTTTTTGATGGCTGTTATAATTTCCTCGTCAGAGACGGCTTCTGTAACGAATTTTATCGTATCTAAACTAGTGATGAGTAGTGGTTGTCATCAAACATTAAACAAAAAAGACACATTATCATCATCATCATCATGTAATGTTCATTGTCATTGTCACTATAAGAAATGCTTGTACACTTTCATGTCATTTCATTATATTTTTGACACCAGTTCATTCTTAGGCAACCTTCTACTCCGCATATTATAACACATTTCCTTCAAAATATTGTGATTACAGTTTACCATCATAAAAATGTGATATTACGACCTATATATATATATATAATAATAATAATAATAATAATAATAATATATACATTTGTGTGTATGTAAGCATGCATGTGTGTACGTAATGCCTAGAAAATGACTCAATGTTTATACTGGCCGGTCGAAATGTGCATTGTATTGTATTGTATTTTGAGATAATGTGACCCCGGCTGGCTACCACAATACGGTTCATTCTATGGTCATTTCACACGCGGTAATGGACCTTATTGTGCCGCCCACGGTGGCTCACGTGTGTGTGTGTGTGTTCGTTTAGTAGCTCTATGTGTGTGTGTTTGTTTAGTAGCTCTTTAATGCCTCAGCCGCCAAAATGGAGGCAAAGTGTAAAAAAAAAACTGTCCAGACGCAGTGATCTCAGTCACTGTAGAGTGGGGCTAGAGTTTTGTTGACCAACACCAAATGCCTCATTCAACTTTCTCATGTTCATGTCATTCTGTCCTTGGATTCCCAAGTCTGGCCTCTCGATTGTCTGTCTCCCCACATGGCGCACTGAACCTGGACGACGGTGGTGCGCCATGTTGGTGTGCTTGGGAATCCAAGACGGTATTGGGAGGTTCTTAAGCGCGTATGGCAACCAGGGGGAGCATACCTGCCTACGAACCTCTAACGGCCTTGTAATGGTAGATTGTTTTTGTGTAGGACTCGTACGGAATGTAGCATCTATGTGTGTGTGTGTGTGTGTGTGTGTGTGTGTGTGTGTGTGTGTGTGTGTGTGTGTGTGTGTGTGTGTGTGTGTGTGTGTGTGTGTGTGTGTGTGTGTGTGTGTGTGTGTGTGTGTGTGTGTGTGCTTGGGGCGACACGCTTGGGTAGTGTGGCTAACTATGTATCCTATGTATCACTGTGTGTGTGCAGAATACATCCCTTTGTACACATGTGTGGTGATAAGCTATCAAGTATTGCTGATACACATTAAAATATGTTTTTACTTAAAAATATTGCTAGTATTTTAAGTAGTTCAGATTATTTATAAATTATGATTTTATGGAAAAGTAGATATAAAGGAATAGTTGCAAAAGTTTATTAATTAAAATATTTTATCAATGTCAGTATTCTAAAATTCACATGTCGAAATATTTATACATTATTGTATAAATAAATTCAAGCTTCGGGATATTAATTTACATTACTCAACCTCGTGACTGTAAATATATAAAGTTGTAAATGAAGAATCGGAGTCTTGAGTGTGTGTGAGAATGTTTGTTACTCAGTAGTCAAATGTGATTGAAAATTGACTTTAATCAACCGATCAATCGTGACTCCTAGAGGGCTTCAGTCAATAG